GGCCACCTGGCCGTGGTGCGCAGCCTGCTGCGCCGCGGCGCCTCGGTCAACCGCACCACGCGCACCAACTCCACGCCGCTGCGCGCCGCCTGCTTCGACGGCCACCTGGATGTGGTGCGCTACCTGGTGGGCGAGCACAAGGCCGACCTGGAGGTCGCCAACCGCCACGGCCACACGTGCCTCATGATCTCCTGCTACAAGGGCCACCGCGAGATCGCCCGCTACCTGCTGGAGCGCGGCGCGCAGGTGAACCGGCGCAGCGCCAAGGGCAACACGGCCCTGCACGACTGTGCCGAGTCCGGCAGCCTGGAGATCCTGCAGCTGCTGCTGGGCTGCCACGCGCGCATGGAGCGCGACGGCTATGGCATGACCCCGCTGCTGGCCGCCAGCGTCACCGGACACACCAACATCGTGGAGTACCTCATCCAGGAGCAGCCAGGCCACGGGCAGCTCGCAGGGACGGAGCTGCCCGAGGAGGGGCCCCCCCAGGGCGCACGCAGCGGCAGTTCCGCCCTGGAGGAAGCAGAGCCTTATGAGAGCTGCTGCCCCACCAGCCGGGAAGCAGCTGTGGAGGCTTTGGAGCTTCTGGGAGCCACCTATGTGGATAAGAAAAGGGATCTGCTTGGAGCCCTGAAGCACTGGAGAAGGGCGATGGAACTCCGCCACCAGGGTGGGGACTACCTCCCCAAGCCCGAGCCCCAACAGCTGGTTCTGGCCTACGACTATTCCAGGGAGGTGACTACGCCCCAAGAGCTGGAGGCCCTCATCACAGATCCTGATGAGATGCGGATGCAGGCCCTGCTGATACGGGAGAGGATCCTGGGCCCCTCGCACCCCGACACTTCATACTACATAAGGTACCGGGGTGCTGTCTATGCGGACTCTGGAAATTTCGAGCGCTGTATCCGTCTGTGGAAATATGCCTTGGACATGCAGCAGAGCAACCTGGAGCCCCTGAGCCCCATGACTGCCAGCAGCTTCCTGTCGTTTGCGGAGCTCTTCTCCTATGTGCTGCAGGACCGCTCGGCCAAGGGCAACCTGGGCATGCAGCTCGGTTTCCCCGACCTCATGGGCGTGCTCAGCAAAGGGGTTCGGGAAGTGGAGCGGGCCCTGCAGCTGCCCAAGGAGCCGGGCGACTCGGCGCAGTTCACCAAAGCCATTGCCATCATCCTCCACCTGCTGTACCTGCTGGAGAAGGTGGAGTGCACACCTAGCCAGGAACACCTCAAACACCAGACAGTCTACCGCCTGCTCAAGTGTGCCCCGCGCGGCAAGAACGGCTTCACCCCACTGCACATGGCGGTGGACAAGGAGACCACCAACGTGGGCCGCTACCGAGTGGGAGTCTTCCCTTCGCTGCACGTGGTGAAGGTGCTGCTGGACTGCGGGGCCGACCCCGACAGCCGGGACTTCGACAACAACACCCCGCTGCACATCGCCGCCCAGAACAACTGCCCAGCCATCATGGATGCGCTCATCGAAGCTGGGGCCCACATGGATGCCACCAATGCCTTCAAGAAGACGGCCTACGAGCTGCTGGACGCGAAGCTGCTGGCCAAGAGCACCCTGCAGCCTTTCAACTATGTGACGCTCCAGTGCCTGGCCGCCCGAGCCCTGGACAGGAACAAGGTCCCTTACAAGGGCTTCATCCCAGAGGAGCTAGAGGCCTTCATCCAGCTGCACTGAGCCTGACCCCGCCACCCAGGTGCACGTGGACCTTCTCCACGTGGAAGCATCCCGTCCCCTTGGCCTGCTGCCAGTGGGGGCAGTGGTTCTAGAAGCCTTCAGGGTCATGTGGTAGGAAGACGGTCTTTCTCTGTGGCAAAAGGGTGCCCGGGCCTCCCCGGTGGCATCTGTCTGGGTCTGGAGGCCTCTGCCCTGTCACCCAGCCCCCAGCTAGCCTGTCCTGGAGTCCTGTGCACCCGACACTGTCAAGATGGGGTCAGAAGTCGTTGGCTCCTCCCTGCGGTGGGGCAGCCCCAGCACCTGCCACCTAGATGTTTGCGGTTGGTTTGTTGTTTACTAAGCAAGTGGGCGACAGCCTGGAGCCCACACTTTGAGGTTTTTGCTCTTTTTTTCCTTGGTTTCTGTTTGTTGGACTCACTAATGACTTAGTTTCAAGTTGCCAGGACTTTGCAGACTGAGATCAGCATGAGCTGTGAGTGCAGATCTGTGACCGACGTCCTGGGAAGCCTCCTCACTCCCATGCTGGTTAGAAGCAGGACTGTCCCCAAGAAGGGCCAGAGCAAGTGACAGGAACAGCCAGGCAGACACCAGTGCCTCCAGCCCCACCCTGTTTGAGGGACTGACGGTTCCCAACTTCAGGCTGCAGCTGTGATGGCTGGCAGGTGCCACAGCCATCAGGTTCATATCCATGCCACCCTTGTCCTGTCCCACCTCTGAGGGCCTGAGTCCAGGTCTTCATGAGGAGTCCATAGTCTCCCCAGTAGCTGCCATGAGTGGGCTTCTGACTAAGATGGGGAGGTGGGGAGCTGCCAGCCAGGGCTGCCATGGCCCTCGAGTGTGGCCCCAGTACAACAAACTACCTGAACAGCACCGACCTGTGACTCCACCAGCTTCTGTCCCTGTCACTGTTGGCGAGTGGAATTAAACTTGGATCACACCAAGGCACGAGGTGCTCATCCCCGGCCTGGGGGAACCAGCTGCAGGAGAGAAAGGCCAGTGTAGAGAGGCCAGCCCCGTGAGGATAGGGTGTGCGATTGCAGTGTTAGGTAGGTTGTTCTCTGTACAGAACGAGCCTCAGGCTACACTGGGCAGCCTCACTGCACTCTCCTGCCCAAGCCCAGGGCAGACACAGACCCTGCGAGTCTTGGCAC